TAAATTCAAAACTCTCTGACTAGAAGCATACAGAAATACTTAAAAGAAAGAGGGAGAACGACCGAGGGCCCCATGAGAGGCAACACTGGGGTGATGAGCCCTCGTGGAGCCCACGGGTTTTGAGGGGAGAGACGCCACCCACCAGAGCTCTTGGGATGGTGCAGCGTTTAAAACATCATGATTTCTCTAGTTTTACGTTTGGAAAATAAAAATACACGTAATAGTTCTGTAACATCTACTACAGAAAAACCTTGCAAAGAAACAAAAGATAAATTTGGCCTCGTGGAAATTTAAAGCTTTGTGTTTCGAAGGACATGGAAAGAAAAGCTATAAAGAACTCTTACAAATCAACAATAAAAGTAAAATAACCCAATTTTTAAAATGGGCAAAGAATCTGGACATTTCTTCAAGAAAGATATACAACTAGTTTTAAGGCACATGAAAACACGCTCAGTATTATTTAGTCATTAGGGAAACGGAAATCTAAACCACAATAAAGCATCAGTTCAAGCCCACGGGCGGCTATAATCAAAAGGCAGATACCGAGTGCCGACGAGCATGTGGGACAGTCAGGGCCCCCACACACTGCTGGTGGGGATATAAAATGGTGCAGCCGCTTTGGAAACGAGTCTGACAGCTCTCAAGTGATTAAACACGAGAGTTTACACGGCTTAGCAACATCACTCCTAAGGTAACCCAAGAGCAATGAAAATATATGTCTACACAAAAACTCGTATGTGAATGTTCACAGCAACATTACTCATAAAGGCCAAAATGTGGAAACAGCCCAAATGCCCGGCAACTGAGAAATGGATAAACAAAATATGATAGATCTATATACAATGGAGTATTACTTGTCCACAAAAAGGAATTAAGTACTGATTCATGCTACAATATGGATGAAGCTCAAAAATATTACGCGAAGTAAAAAAAAAAAACTAGGTCCACATATCGTAGGATTCTGTGTATATGAAATGTCCGGGACAGAAAAATACACAGAGACAGAAAGTTGATTAGTGGCTGCTTAGCGCCGGGGACTTCGGGACAGTGATAGTGAATGGGTACACGGTTTCCTTCTGGGGTGATGAAAAATGTTCGCAAATGGTCTCTGGGGATGGTTGTACGTATCTGTGAATAA